TGAAATAATGCCATTTGCAGCAACATGAATGGACCTAGAGATTATCATATTAAGTGAAGTAAGTCAGAGAAAGACAATTGTCACTTATATGTGAAATCTAAATATATATATATAAATCTTATTTACAAACCAAAAATAGAGTCATGGACATAAAAAGCAAATTATGGTTAACAAAGGGGAAATAGCTGGGGAGGGATAAATTAAGAGTTTGGATGGATACACATTACTATATACAAAATAGATAAGTGACAAGAACCTACTGTATAGAAATTAAACTATATTCAATTTCTTGTAGTAACATAATGGAAAAGAACCTGAAAATATATATATGTATATGTATAACTGAATTGCTCTGCTGTACAGCTGAAATTAACATTGTAAATCAACTACACTTCAATAAAGAAAAATTTTTTATAAAAATAAATAAATAAAAAGATTTAAAGCCAAAAGAAAAAAAGAGTTAGGTATCAAGAGAGAATCTGGAGTGAAATGAGGCTTAGTGAAAACACCAGTTTTCCAGATGTAACACTTACTTGTACAAGTTCTAATAAGTACAGTACATGAGAAAATGTGCTTGTAATGAGCAGAGATGGTATACAGTGATAAACAAGCCAATAAGGCACATCTGTAGGTAGGTAGGGTGGTTTTTGTTTCTATAAATTATTCTAATGGGCACACAAACATATGAAAGTGTTAACATCTCTCTTGGCTGGCCAACCAGTAAAATATGAAAGATTCAAGCAATGGATAGAGTTATTCCTGTGATTTAAGACAAACTCGACGTAATAGAGCTGAGATTACTCTAGCCAGTGTAGAAAGCAGGGTCTCATGAGAAAAAGAGCAAATATCATGAGACTCATGGATCTTTCTTTGAGAGAAATACAGCCATGTAACTATTAGTTCTTTGGCTAATCAGAATTTAAGAAAGTACTTATGTCCACTTGTCATGTTATGTGTTCTACATAAACTTCTAAAACCCTAAGATGTTTGAATAGTTGATCCACATGGTATCTAACTCAAATTTATACAAGAAAAGGTTAGAATTTATAAAATGTATTGGAGTTTTTTTCTTGAGGCTATAGAAGACAAGATACTTTACGGGTAGCATCGGGAGCCAATGCTTGTCTTTCAACTTCAGTCTACTCTCCAAAATAGGTAGCTTCAAATGTACCTTTGTCATGCATTGATATTTTGTCAAGAAAGCAAAAATGGTACCCTCCATGCTGATATTGTGAAAATGTTTTGACAGTATTTGCAAACTCCTGTGAGATGGAGAGCTACAATTTTTTCCACCAAAATATAAACAGGAGTAGTAAATGGCAAATAAAAGTGGGTAAACATTGCCACAATTTGTAATAGAGAGCACTAAAAATCCTCTCAATGCAGCAAACATCAATTCTATCATCTTCAGAAGTCTAAAAGACTGCTGATATTAGCAATATTAATCAGCAAGAGAGGGTGTGGAGAAGAAAATTGTAGTTTCTTTTTAAATCTGTGGAAAAAGAAAGGAATTTGTAAAAGAAGAAAATACATAAAGTGAAAGAAGGTAACAGTAAAATATAAACTGACAAGTGAGGAGGGAAGTTTTTATGTTTATTGTTATTATTTTGGTAGCCTTTTAAAAAGTTTATCAAGGTACATTTGATGAAAAGATGTGACATTCACTATTATAACCCCTTGAAAATAGAACATGATCTAGAATAATGGTGTTCTATTCTGACTTGGGTGAATGAATCATCTGCATGCCAATATTATGGTTATACTTAAAACAAGCATAAATACTTGAAAGTACATACAGTAAGAACAGACATGCACAGTTGTCCATATTTTTTTAGAATTCTCAACTAAAAGGCATGATGAATTGAAAGAATAATTCAAAATTGAAATTTGGTCATCCTTAACCTCAAGTGCCAAGCAGAGGACATTTCTCAAAAGTGTCATTCCTAGTTTCAGGTTGACAACCCAAATTATGGTCCTTGAAGCAGAAGAGAACATTCATAAAAGTTTAATCAAATACAGGATCAGTTAGCTTTTTTGTCAGGAGAGGACACATATGAAGAGACTGAATCCAAGAACAGTCCCTCCCCAGCCATAACAACAAGGAAGAGAAAAAGAGCATTTGGGAGGAGTGATTAGTACACAACAAACATGCAGTAGATAACAGCTGTTGTTTTTATTATCATTATATTCAGTATCATAAAACTACCATCTACAGTTTTTGTCTTGGTTCCTGAGGTATTTACAGTGATAGGTAAGGGGGAAAAAGGTCCTCAAGTATAGAAGCTTATTTTGTATTGGAATGACATTTGGTTAATCAATTTTACACATTTTAAAAATATGTGTTAACTCTCACTTCCCATCAAGACATTAGGGTCACAAAGCTGCTAAATTTAAAGATGTAGTAAGAAGAGTTCAAGAGTTTAATTTTAGTTGTTTATATATTCTGTATTATTTCCTTTAATCCTTACAACAACCCTTAATTGCAGGAATATTTACTCTCACACTATAGAGAAGTAAACTGAAAAGTCAGAGAAATACAGTGACATTAATGATTATGAAGCTCACTAGTAGTAGAATTTGAAACCAGAAATTCTGGTTTTCTAAAACTGCAAAAATTGTGATCTCCACACTTCCTCATTAACTTCCCAAACTAATTCACAGATATAAGTCTAGATTTCTCTTTTGCCTGGTAATCTAAGGGAATAACTGGTAGTTCTGCTAAACACATGGGAAATGATAACTAGAGGGGAAACTCATAGGGCAAATTCTCCCTTAGGTTCCAATAGGTTCCCTAAGTAGGCAGAGTTCCTAAAATGTTGGTAAAGGAGACAAACAACTAAATCTGAGGAGCTTTCCACAAGTCTGAATATCATTTGTTATATATAGATATAGAGTCTACTTTAATTCAAAGAAACTATCTTGGAGGAGATTCTGCCTTAACTGTCAACTTATTAGATAGAACAAACAAAAGCTTGACCTGTGCTAATATTGCATTTCTAAATTGGGCCACATTATGCTTTTTTTCAGCAGCTTAGAGGCTCTAAATTTTAAAATAAGCATGAATGTTTACCAGTGAAGGTCCTGAGAGAAAATACAAAGAAGCAACTGCAGGGTAGGAGTGGGTATAGCTCAGTAGTAGAACACACGCTTAGCATGCACTAAGTCCTGCATTCAATCCCCAGAAGCTCCACTGAAAAGAATAAAATAAAAAATTTAAGAAGCAACTGAGTGTTCAAACAACTAAACTGGAGGCCATGTATAAAATTCAGTATTCAAATGAGTGATTGAGTTAAAGGACATTTAAAGTACTTTTCCAACTAAGAGAATCTGAGACTATGATGTTAAAAAAACATCTCTGGTTGGGTCCTATCACCATCTACAGCCAAACACGTGTTATTTTCATTGAGTTTTAGCAAGCACATCTGATCTATTATCCTTTAGCACAATGTGGACATTTCTGTCTCACAAGGGGATTTGATGTTCATTTTAATTTAGCTTTGAAAGCTCTGTCTAATTGCTTATTGTGGAAGGTCAAGCAAATCCTTTAAGCAAACTTGCATTTGATGATTAAAACTATCAGGAAATACAGTTTTAGAGGTCGATTATAAAATATTTTTAGTTATCAAATATGGGCTATTTCAGGTATTAAAATTAAATTTCAACAGGGGATTTTCTGGAAAGGTACCATTCCTGAGGCAAAGATCAATTGTAACATTATTGATCTAAAATACAGTTTGAAATATCTATTGTACAGCTTTAAAATTGGACAGAATTCCATTAGAAAAATAAAACAATTTATTACATTTAAACCTCAAAAAAATCATCAATATATATACTCTCAATTGAAGAATTGGATTTAAAATTTCTGTAAATTATGGTAGTTTAATTCTTAGTGATAAAACAATTAGTAGAAAATTTTATCATTGAATTCACTGCCAATATCAGTGATACTTAACACTGTTACAGACAATACTATTAAAATTAGTAGTGATGGAATGATGGTCCTGATCCTGAAAACATAAAATCTTGCCCAGGATTGTAATTTTGATTACACTATTATTATTCTTTCAAATAGTGTCCTTTTCCCCCTTCTTTTCCAAGTTCAGCAGAACCTGCTAATTTACATTAGCTGAAATGTCTAGTGTCAATTATGCAACATTTTAGATTAGTGAGCACATTAACTTTTCTA